TTTAATTTAAAAAAAATTTAATCTTCAAAATTTTTATTATATTTTTTTGGATACATTTTTGAAAATCTTAAATGCAAATTTTATAATAATTGTATTATTTTCTATTTCAATTTTTTTTAATCTAGATATTTATCCATTTTTGAAAATTTTCAAATGCAAACAATTTTAATTGTATTAGTTTTTTTTTTTTTATTCTAATTCTTTTTAATCTATATATTTATTTTTTAATTTAAACAATCTCTATTTTAACAACATTTATTTCTTTTTATTTTTGTAATATGAAATTTAAAAAATTTAACAACAAGAAATATTTTAAAAATTTTAAAGTTTTGTTTAAATCAATTTAATTTAATTAATTGTAAATGCATTTAAATTAAATTTTTTACATAATTTCCATTATTCCTGCTCCAAAGTTAGCTCAAATCAAAATTTAAAGGATTCTGGACTCTCAGGCAAATGCAAATTGAAGCTGAAATGCTAGACATTCACAGGGCAGCCAAGCCACGCCCCTTCCCTGCTCTTATCCAACTAGATCTATCTGAGCTAAAACATTTCATTAGGAATTGAACAGATTTGTGTGTGCCTTTGGAGCTGTTTGCATGTGCTTTAGCCAAATAGTCTGCGCTGGCTAAGTACATAATTGTTATGGGCAATGCCTTTGGGCCGAGGTTGGGGCACCGGACATGTGGGGGCCAGCCCCAGCTGCTTTCTGCTCTCGAATCGTATCTCAAGCTCAGGACTTTTGTGGACAAATGCCCCAACTCCTTTTCAATAACTCGAGCGATTTTCATTTCTTTTTCTGGCTGTCGTCGTCGAGTCAACTTCATTAGTCGCATGGACAAAAACAACATTGGGCTAACGGAGCTGATGAATTCATTTCCTTTTTAGACTGAATTTCGGGCGGACGAAATTACAAGAGTAGCTGAAGCAGAAGAAGAAGAAGTCAAAAGAAAATGAGAAAAAAATGCAGAGAATGAAGTGAGAACGTTGCGGTAGGACGTTATGGACGGCAGAATACTCTAGCTCCTAAGCTGTAAGGAATACAGTTTCATCCAATATGCCACGCCCCCCAATGGGCGCTATATCTCATTGAAGTTGTAATGCCAGCATGAGTATAAATTCCAAATTTCAACTCTCTAGCACCTCAACTGCCAAGGTTTCAGTTATACTGGAAAATTTCCGATTTGCCACGCCCCTAGTAGGCGGATCGAGAGCAGCTTGAAGTCTTATTATTCGAGATTATAAACATATATAAACAAATTTCAAGTCTCTAGCTTCATTAGTGCTGAAATAGCTTGCATTCATAGTAAATGACGAACCAATATACCCATTTCACTTTGTTGAATGAGTATGAAAACGGGGTAAATGAAATTGGAACTGAGCGAGGACGATGAATGCAAAATCCTTGGCACATGCAAGTGTTGCTGTTGTTGTTAGCGCTTTGGCAAACTAATTAGCAAATGTACACACACACACACACACATACATGTGCACACATATTGAGATAGAGACTTGGACAAATGTCAACATATCTA